GGGGGGGGGGGGGGGGGGGGGGGGGGGGGACCTGGCCTGGGGTAAGCAATGGTGGGTGGTATGAGGTGGGGGGATCCAGGGCCCCGGCCTGGGGGGAGAGCGGGGGGGACCTGGCCTGGGGTAAGCGATGGTGGGTGGTATGAGGTGGGGGGAGACAGGGCCCTGGCATGGGGGGAGGGGAGCCAGGCGGTACGCGGTGCGGTGTGGGGTGAGAGGGGCCGGGGCACAGGGTGAGGGAAACAGCGGGGCTGGCACGAGGTTGGCAGGGCCCAGCATGGTGGGGGAACGGGGCACGAGGTAGGGGGTGCTGCGGGGGCCTGGCCTGAGGTGGAAGGAGCTGGGTGGTATGGGGTGGGGGGAGTCAGAGGGGGCTGGTACCAGTGGGGGAGCTGGGAGGGAGCCAGGGTCCTGGCATGGGGTGCAGGAGAGCTGTGGGGGACCTGGCCTGGGGTAAGCGATGCTGGGTGGTATGAGGTGGGGGGAGCCAGGGCCCTGGGATGTGGTGAGGGAAGTGGTAGCAGACTGGCATGAGGTGAGAGGAGCTGGGGTGGGGGGGTACAGAGTGAAGGGGAGTTGGGGGCACAGGGAGGCTGGACTGGAAAGCCCTGTCCTGGGGCGAGGGGGTACAAGGTTGAGGGGCTTTCCTTGTCACAGTGTTTGGCTTTCTAGCACAGGGGACGTGCCTGTCCGAGGGAAGCCATGACCCCAACTCTGCACATGGAGAAAATGCCAGCAGAAAATTCCTTCTCTAGATCCCCTCTACTCCAGTGGTGTGGAAAGGGGTATGGGGCACTTAATACTCACAGCCTATGGAATTTTCAGCAGAAACAGGAGGCTTCAGGAGGTACCCCTGTAACCTGAGACACCAGGACCTATTCTGGCCACCACACCTGTTTCTTTGCGGTCACCACTACTGTTCTCCAATCACCCAGCTATTTTACAAGCGCTGGGGCGTGAAGCCTCCCCCCTTCAGCTCCCCTGGTCTGTGAGCTGCTCTTGATGCTCACTGGGGAGAGGTGTGTGGAAGCTGTTGAGCTGTCTCTTTTACTATATCTTTTTCCATTCTGTCTCTCTTGAGGACTCACTATGCCCCCCAAGAGAAGGCAGAAACTGCAGCAAGAGCAGAAGGGGCAGCCAGGTGTGGCTGCACCCCTGGAGGGAGCTGCCGAGGGGGCTGTAGCCAGCAGAGAAGAGGTGCTGCTGCAGCAGGAGTACAGCCGCCTTTGCAAGGAGCTGGAGGACATGAAGGGGGCACGTGTTCAGCTTCGGGAGGAGAACGAGTTCCTGCAGCAAGAGGCCCAGCGTCTCCGTGCTGAGAGCCAGGAATTCATGTGCTATGTGGCCAAGAGGGCCCAGCGGCGCCAGGATGCCATCATCTCCCTGAATGATCGGAACAAGCAGGCCGTAGAGGAGATCCGCAGGGAGCAGCAGGAACTGCTCACCCTCTACCAGAGGAAGGAGGCAGCTCTGCGGGAACAACTGTTGCACAAAGAGGGTGAACTTCTCCGCCTTAGCAAGGAGGTTGAGGGCCTGCGGGAGATCCAGGCACTGCAGCAGGAGCAGGCTGCCCACATCAGGGAGCTGCAGGAAGAGCTGGTGGCCACCAGGCAGCAGCACACTCAGCACCTGCAGGAGACCAAAAGCCATTTCCTGCAAGAAAAGGCTGCCTTTGAGCAGACGTCCCAGCAGCAGGTGCTCTGCCTGCTGCAGCAGGCACAGGAAGTGGTTGCACGGTGCATGCAGGAGCATAGCGACCAGGTGAAATGTGAGAACCAGGAGCTGCGGCAGGAGCTGCACCAGCTCATCCAGCGATCACGCACACTGCATTTACACAAGCGCCGGTTAGAGGAGCAGGCACAGCAGCTGCTGCGAGAGCGTTGCTACATGCAAGACATGGCTCGCCTGTACCACACCCACCAGGGCAAGAAGTAGGCCCCAGCTGTGACCCCAGGAATGAGCTGACAGAGAGGTGGCCACTACTCACTGCCATGACCTGCTTTTGGTATTAGAATTATTTAGCTCAGGGGTTCTCAAACTGGGGGTCGGGACCCCTCAGGGGGTCACGAGGGTATTACATGGGGGGTCACAAGCTGTCAGTCTCCACCCCAAACCCCGCTTTGCCCCCAGCATTTATAATGGTGGTAAATATATAAAAAAGTGTTTTTAATTTATAAAGGGGGTCGCACTCAGAGGCTTCCTATCTGAAAGGGGGCACCAGTACAAAAGTTTGAGAACCGCTGATTTAGGTCAACATTCTTCAGTAACAGCTTTGTTAATAATCTGAGAGGGAAATGAAATTCCCAGAGGATACTGAACTGGGAGGAGCTATAACTTCCAACAAAAAGAGATCTGATCCAAAAGGCTTTAGTGAGACATTGGCAGGGAACAATTTATCCAGCTATCGCACATGGGTCTTATATGGGCCCCATTGCTGAAGTATCTGAGTGCCTCACAAACATTAACATATTTATCCACAAAGCAGCACTGTGAGGTAGGGTGATGCCATTGTTGGATGTTTTTCTAAAAGATCTGCTCTAGGGGCTGTTTTCTGGCTTGTGTTATACCAGGCCTGCACAACATGCGGCCCAGGGGCCGCATGCGGCCCGCATGGACTCACTGTGCAGCCCGCGGGGGTTGAGTAGGTGGGCTCACTGTGCGGCCCATGGGGGGGTGAGTAGGCAAGCGGGCGGGGAGTGAGTAGGCGAGCCGGGGGAGGGGGGCTGAGGAGGCAAGCAGCGAATCGGTGGCTGACCTGTTCTACTGATCTGGTCTGGCTCCCATCCCCTCTCCCAGGGCCAGCTCCAGGCACC